AGAAGAAGAAGAAGAAGAAGAAGAAGAAGAAGAAGAAGAAGAAGAAGAAGAAGAAGAAGAAGAAGAAGAAGAAGAAGAAGAAGAAGAAGAAGAAGAAGAAGAAGGGATTTTTTGACATTTGTTAATTTTGAGCTAACAGGTGGTGATTAGTTATTCACTTGGGATCCACCAGCCACCATTGTTCACTGACCTCGAATTGTTGTGATCTTCCCAAATGACTCTGTAAAATCAGATCGGTCCTCTAAGCTAGAGAATTCGGCTGGACCTCCTTCTGCGAAACGTTGCTCCACCTGGTTTCTGGTGCACCTCTGCTGCCACCTTGTGGCAATTGGGCTACTAGCAACAGGAATTTGGGATGCCAGTTTCTTCACAATGCAACTTTTAAATTGTGAATATGAGGTCTTGCCTGGTGTCTGTTTTAAGAAAAAAATAAATAAATACATTGCTGTTGTGGTATTTAAAACTTTAAAGATTCTTATATTCTTAAAACACACTACAAACTACTGGTGGAAGCAAATATGTTTCTAACAAAAACTTCATTGGCAAGCCCTGTTTCAAACGTAACATGAAACTACTATGGCTAGATAGTGGAATGAGAATTCAGCCACTTCCACAAAGAGGTTACTGAAAGATCTTGGGCTTGTTATTCCTTCTCATCCTAACCCATGAGCACATGAAGCTGCCCCATAACTGAGCCAGACCCTTAGTCTATGAAGGTCCATACTGTCTTCTTAGAGCAGGGGTGTCGAACTCATTTGTTATGAGGGCCGGATCTGACATAAATGAGACCTTGTCGGGCCGGGCCACGTGTGTCATAAAATGTAGCCGAGATATAAACTTTATAAAGGACACAAACACAAAGGGGTGTTTTTTTACTGAAAATAAAAACATGCTTAAAACATTAGCACTCTTGCAATATTTTGTTTATTTAACAGGGTCTGATAACTGACACCTCTTGCTCTGAATTACTGCACCAATTTGTCTGTGCTGTTGCAATCCTGAGTATGCTGTTCAGGTGTGTATCTGTAAGCTGCAAACCTACGATGATGCAGCAGCAGCAGAACTGGAAGCAGAAGCAGAAGACAGCCAGTTCCACTGCGGGCCTGAGAGAAGCCCTCCGGGGGCCTGATCCGGCCCCCAGACCGCATGTTTGACACCCCTGACTTAGAGTGAGAGCAGCTCTCCAGGTTCTCAAGCACAGGTCTTTCACATCACCTGTTCCCTGATTCTTCTAACTAGAGATACCAGGGATTGAACCTGAAACCTTCTACATGCAAAACAGGCACTCTGCCACTGAGCCACGATGCCTCATTTCCCCTCTCCTCTTTCTCATAGGGTGGTTTGTTGTGAGGATAAGATGGAGGAGAACGATGTCATAACAAACTTGGGGCCCCACTGGGCGGTGGGGGGGAAGCAGGGAATAAATATCTAAATATCCAGAGTGTATAACTATTGCTGTATGGATTTGAACTGTAGCGTTCCCTAACAATGGACAACCAGATCCATCATGAATGTGAATCATCTTAAATGTTTTCTCAAGTGGTTAAGACGCTGAACTGCAGGCTGTGGAAGGTCAGTAGTTCAGCAGTTCGAGACCCGGGTGCCGCAAGACGGGGTGAGCTCCTGTCTCTAGTTCCAGCTCCTGCCAACCTAGCAGTTCGAAAGCAAGAAATTGCAAGTAGATAAATAGGGACCACTTCGGTGTGAAGGTAACAGCGTTCCGTGCGCCTTGGTGTTTAGTCATGCCGGCCACATGACCACGGAAACGTCTTCGGACAGCGCTGGCTCTTCGGCTTTGAAACGGAAATGAGCACCGCAACCCTAGAGTCGGACTCGACTGGCTTTCGAGCAAGGGAACCTTTACCTTTACCTTTTAGTGAGTTCAGTGAGTTCAGAAGCTAGTGCAGCACAGACTACATGAAACACGCAGCGAGTCAGAAGGGCCCATCATGTGAAAACGGGGGGTATTAAAAATACACAAAAGTGTTGCTGTTTTTATATATGAAATGATGAAGGATCTCTGATGGCTTAGTGTTTGCTACATAAACATCTTGTCCATAATGCTTACTCTCCTTTGTTAAGTCGCTCGCTTACCAAAGTAGTCGGAGAGTGATTCAGCAAGGATTCAGCTTTATTCATCAACTCAAACACAACTCCAACCCGGAACAACATCTGATAGCCAGAACAGCTTTAGCATTGAAGCTGTTCTTCTTTTAAACTCTCCCGGCTAATATAGCCACGCCCTATTTTACAATAAGAAGAAGAAGAAGAAGAAGAGAAGAAGAGATTGGATTTATACCCCGCCCTTCACTACCCAAAGGTGTCTCAGAGCGGGTTACAAACTCCTTTCCCTTCCCCTCCCCACAACAGACACCCTGTGAGGTGGGTGGGGCTGAGAGAACTCTGACACAAACTGCTCTTTTTCAAGGACAGCTGTGCCAGAGGTTGTGACTGACCCAAGGTCACATCAGCAGGTGCAAGTGGAGGAGTGGGGAATCAAACCCGGTCCTCCCAGATTAGAGTCCGCGCACTTAACCACTACACCAAACTGGATCTCTATGAGGTTGCACGGATAAGGTCCAATCACAATTGTTCCCTCTCATGGAACTGGATGTTGGTGATTGGTCGGCTCTTCCTGGGCTACCAATAGTAATTGAGGGATTAGGATCCTAACCCAGGACGAAGCTTCACATGGTGTTTCTGTTATGTATTCAGATGGACCTGAACGCACTAACTGTATGGAACTGATGTATGTGAACCAGCTCATTGCCATCTCATGTAAAGCTTCGGCCTGGGCTAGGATCCTAATGTAACCAATAGGAGCACTAGCCCAGGATGTGTCTTCCAATCACATTACAGAGCGGGAGCGATTGTGATTGGTCATTATCTACTCAACCTGATAGGTTGATATTTGTACAGTGGGCGTGGCTATATTAGCCGGGAATGTTTAAATACAGAGCAGCTGCTGTGTTAAAGCTGTTCTGGCTGATTGATGTTGATCCGTGTTGGAAGTGAGTTCGAGTTGAAGAATAAAAGCCGCATTCTTGCTGAATCACTCTCCGACTCTTTGTTAAGTGGGCAACTTAACAGTTTCAATCACTGCGTTTTCATACGGACTTTGTCACATTGAATACACCACCACATCCTTCCTCTGCCCTCTTGCTGCAATGAGCTGTGGCTATTTCAAGTCAAGTTCTTACAGAGGTAGTAAACCTGTACCTAGGCTGTATCCAGGGTCGCCTACCGCCAGGTGGGCCGGGAGTTCTCCCAAAATTACGACTGATCTCTGGACTACAGAGATCATGTACTCTGGAGAAAATGGCAGCTTTGGTGGGTGGACCCTATGGCATCCCATACCCAAGTTCCATCCTCTACCACAACTTCACCCTCCACAATCTCCGCCCCCAAATTCCCAGGAACCTCCCAAGCTGGAGTTGGCAACCTTAGCTGTATTATTTCAAACAACAATGAGGGTTCTAGGATTGCCATCTCTGGGGTGGGAAATCCCTGGAGATTTGGGGGTGGGGTCTAAGGGGGTGAGGTTGGGGAAAGGGAGGGACCTCAATGGGGTCTAATGCCCCAGAGCCCACCCTCCAAAGCAGACATTTCCTCCAGGGGAACTGATCTCTGTAGTCTGGGGATCAGTTGTAATTCCAAGAGCGCACCTGAAGGCTGGCAACCCTCTACGGGTCATATAATTGTAAATCCCTTCATCCAAAAAAAAAATGTCTTGCACACAGAAGACTATATAGGGGGGAGAAACCCTGACAGTTTTTTTTTTTAAAGATGAGCGAATTGTGTTTGGTATGAGAAAGCATTCAGTCGTATATTCCCCTCTGAGCTCCTTGGAGGCAAGGGTTGCCAGCGTCCAGATGTGTAATGTATTCAGCCTGACATGCCCGGACTTGCCCGGGCTGGCCAGGCACAATTCCTCTGTAGCAGACAAAGGATCCAAAGGATCCTAGCCGGCCCAATCAAAAGGGCTAGCTTCCCAGCCGGGAGACCAATGGTCGCCCGGTTACTGTAAATAGCCTATCGGGAGTAGGGGGTGTGTTTAGGTGTGCTTGGTGGCGGGTTTTCTGAATGCATATAAACCGGCCTGCGAGCCGGTCAGTTGTCTTTGTCCTGAACTAAATAAAGGTATGCTTAGCTGAAATCACTCATCCGTCTGCATACTTTTCACTGGCGACGAAGGTGGGATTCACGACCCCATGAACAAAGACCCGGACGCCAACACGAGCACCGCACCGAGCACCGACGCCGAAACCTCCGGGAACCGCGCCACTTCGCATCCCAGCTCTCCGGCAACCGCCCATCACCCCGCTCCTGGCTCCGCTCCGCACCCTGCTGACCCCGAGAGCAGCAGCGCCCTTCTCAACGCTCCAGTCGCCGCCGCCATCCCAGGGGACACCCAACCACATGGCTGCAGCACAATGGCGACCCCTCCGAGCAACATCTCCGCTTTTGATATCGGCCGCCCCACCGAATGGGAGGCCTGGCTCGAGATCCTGACGAGCTACTTCAACTGCCACAAAATTACGGACAATGGAACGAAGAAGGACCATTTCCTCCAGTTGTGCGGCATGGGCCTACTCCTGAAGGACCTCATCACCCCAAAGAAGACCGCAGAGGAGCCCTACACGGTGCTGATCAAGGCGTTGACGGATCACCTGGCACCCAAACCCACTAAATTCGCGGAGCGGATGGAATTCTGCGTGAGGGTACAGGGACCCGACGAGTCCACCTACGATTTCCTGGCGGGACTCTGGCGAGCGGCCACAAACTGTGAGTTCCAGAGTCTATCGGACACCCTGCTGACCCAATTCCTGGTGGGCCTGCGAGAGCCCAAACTCCAGCGGAAACTGGTCAGTAAGAAC